TGAGCGTCATTTTAAATAAAAAAAATTGCAACTTGTGTGAAAAAAAAAAAAAATCAAATTTTGTACCATTGCCTTGTGTACCTGTAATCTTGTAATCTTACAGATTCTACTACAGCATAGTAACTATCTCTAACAAAGAAAATATAGAACTATAACCAAACATGTTTTAATCGCCTTTTGAATGCAGTCTTGTAAAAGATCTTTATAAATAATGCAGCTGTAGAAGCACAAAGTGACATATTTTTATCAGATAAATGCCTGTACGAAAAATGTAACAATAGTATATGGTTACTGATTTTGTTCTCATGTGTACTCAGCAAAAATAAATATTTCGTAAAAATAGACAGATTTTCTTACGTCAGAGTAAATATCTTCAGTTGAGGTTCGTATTTGTTTGACGAAACAAACATTTTTTTCGACAATGGAGCAAACCGTTTGTAAAAAAACATCGAGACTCCATCGATCAATTAATTATAAATCAGCTAATTTCTACTGTTATTTCCTGAGTTGAACCGAAAAGTTTGTAACTCATAGATTATATAAATCATAGTAAATAAAAAATCACCCGTATCACTTGATTTACGAACAATCTTTATCAAAATAAATTATTCGAGTAAGAACAACGCGAATAAGCACGCGAATTGTCAAAAATATCTCCTCAGGGCAATCAATTGATCTCCAAAAGGTACATACCAGTTCGAAACACATACAGTTATTTCGTTCATACTCTGTATCAAAAACTTCTACATCTACAACGTTTGTTTGTAAAGTGGGTCATGTAAAAGCGTAAGTTCCCATCAAATCCCTCAACACGCTGTACAATCGATACCTAAAGATCAATAGAGGTACGGTAGAACCACCAAATCACGAGTCCATTAAACCAACGAATCGTCATCGATTTTTTGATCGCTAAAATTTAAAAAAAAAAAAAAAAATCATCACGTAATTACCAACGACCGTGTACGGAAAACGTTTGGATCAATTAGAAAATCCGTGGAAAATCACGGAAATCCCATAACAAGTTGATTTATCCGCGAAATCCAAGTGCACTGGAGAGAGGACACTTTGGGCCCTTCCCCAGAAATCACAATGTAATACACAACGAACCAGAGATACTTATCTATCCGTAAGTATAATTTTCATTTCTCGGGTCTCTGTATTCGCAACGAGAAGTATGTTCATTGACTCGAGTGAAAGTAGTTTGCTGCTTGCTAACTCTTTCTCTTCTCGCGGGAGGAGGAAGGGGTATATATTTTCCGCCTCATCTCTCTCGTATAGACACCACTTGTATGCTATATAAATATATATACAGTGCGAGGTAAGGAGAGCACGAGGCTACATGTGGGTCAGTCGACTCGACGCTGCTGTTTGCGGTGTGTACATGTATATATACATATATATGTGGTACAGGTAAGTGCACACTGAGGTCGCGCGAAAGGAGACGGGCTTTTAAGTGACAGAGTAATCACGTCTTCGACAGATTTATGGACGGAAAACGCGATTGTTGGATCCTTCCTCGTCCCTCTCCCTTGATTTTCCGATGGAGAAACGCTTAATTGAGCGTCAATTTGACACCTTTTTTTTTTACTCGTGTTTCATTTGACTTTTGTTTGAAATTGAGCTGCGCGACGAGTGCAACCCTAGCAGTGAGAGAAAATGCATTTTTAGAAAGTCCCAGGGCTTTAAATTGGATTTTACGCTGCCATCCAATGTTCTACAGATTTTTGGATGATCCTTTGGTCTCTTTGTGCTTTTCAAGTCAACGAATAAGCATAGTGAGATAAATCCTTGTGAGTTTTTCAAACCTACTACTGTTTGCAAAATCAAACTTTTACATTAAGAGCATTGCCTTAAACTTTTATCGCGTAGGTATCATGGCAGGGAGGAAGTTCTGATAAAATATTAAATTTTTATTTGGTAATGTCAAAACGACATTGCAAAGAGTTGAAATCCAAGTTTTTTTTTTTTCTTTTCTCATACTTTAGAAGCACGTTTCGCAAATTATATCAGTCCAAAGTTAGCATCGCCATGATACCCAAGAACTACAAAGTCGATGTCTGTGACAAGACGTGCATTCCCTATACGTTGGGTGTTCTTGCTCGCACCAAGTTATAGATCAAATTTTGTACGTTGAATCATTTAAGTATGTTAATAAATTTATTGTACGAAATTTTCGTTATACTTTTTTTAAAATCGCATTTCAAAACAACTCGATCAATCGTAAAATATACGTATACACAGAGTTCAAAAGTGTTCAGGTGTGTTTACCACAACTGTATATTTGGTTCGAACATTTATGTTTCAGCGACTAATAGTTAGTTAAAATCAAGAATGAAGAGAAAAAACTTGAAGCTCCCGTTACTAAAACTATTTTACATCTATAGTAGAATTCTAGGAACGATACCAATGAATTTTAGTGAGACGACAATACAAAATAATATTTTTTAACGCTGGTCATTTAGTTATTCTTTTATTGGAATAGTCTACAACATTTTATTACTGATTTTCTTAATTATATCGCAATATTTTTATCTACGAGAGTTTCTGAAACTAGCTGCTAAATTATCTGATCGCTGCTAAATTATCTCGATAGTATACTTACCTATTATTAATATATTAAGTTTTGCGACTGTCAATTATGCCGTAATTCGATCAATTTTCCAACAAAAACGGCGATATCTACTTTTGAAATTTTTAATTCCGTTAAAGAGGCAGTAGGAAAACTGAATGAGAACAGAAATAATAAATGGATATTTAAAGACATAAAATACGTTTCTTTTGTTTTTTTCAAGTATATTGTAAATGTTATTTTCCTGCTTCGTTTAATAATACTTCCTTCTGACATAAAATTTCCAATAATTTATTCAATGCAACAGATTAATCGTATGACATTAGATGTGATACTTTTTCAGTATGTGCTTTCTGTCATCGTAATCACAGATTTACTTAAAATTATTCGCCATCGTTTGAAAAAAATTTTTAAAGAACCTGTTTGTATGGCAAGGAGTAATTCCAACAAAACCGTCAGTGTACAAGAAAAATTACAAAATATTTTAAAATTGCATAGAGAATACATAGAATTGGCCAAAATATCCCGCGAATTGTCAAGTTTTTATTCGCTAATAATTTGTTTATGTACCGCTACGTATTTTGTACTTTTATTGCATTATTGTCATAGAGGTATGACTTTGTTAATTGATTACAATAGTAGTACTCCGATAGTAGATTTAATACTTGCATTAATGAACACTACTGATACTCTAATTATGGTATTTCTATTGACAAACTCTGTAAACTCAGCCATGAAACAGGTAAGTTATTGTTAATGTACGATTTTCGTTTCCGTAGCCGAAATTTTAGGTAACTTTTGTAAATCCCACAGATTGAAAAAATGAACCATTCATTAATTGCCTGCATGATGAATTGCGATACTTTTAAATGCGATAATATAATATATCAAGTAAGTATTGAAGCTAATGATAATACGATTTAGGAACCATGAAATAAAATAATTTCTTTTCAGCTCTTGCTGTTTTCATATCAATGCACGGCGTCTGATGTCCAGTTTCAAGCTTTAAATGTTTTTAAACTAGACAGATCATTATTTTTTAGAGTTAGTATTTTTTTATGTTTTGAGTAATTACCTCCCAAGGTGCAAAATAATTAAAGCATGCAAGAGAATTATTGTATTTGAAATAAACTAAAATCTTATATCGTGTTTTCAGATGATAAACTTGACTACTTCATATTTGTTTGTACTATACAAATTTCGCTGATAAGTTTGATGTATTGCAAAAAATTTTGTAAATCGTTGTTCTGCATCAGTTACTATTAATAAACTAATTAGAATCTATCAAAAAACATGCATGTGCATTAAATTTTGTGCACGTATTTTAATAACTTTTTGAAATCCATTTTGATCTTAGTATTCTACAAACAGATTTTACCATCATATATTCGTGAATGTAATTTGTGATCATGTTTTTGCATACAAAAAAACTGATCTGTTATTGTATCTATATTATCACGTGCGTTTTTTTTTTTTTTTTTTTTCTAGAAGGTCCTGATCGGATACTCAATTTTTCAGATTTTTACACCCATCTTCGATTGCCATTCATTAATATTAGCTTGTAAAAAAATACTTGATCACCTTATAAAATTCTTACAAAAAAGTTGCAGCGTTCTACTAATTTTATTTATCATTTGTTTATTTATCTACAAATTACTTCAATTTTAACTATTTTTTACTTTTACATTTTATAATTTGTACTCAATATCTAATAATTCAATTTACTTTTGTAAATTATTTTGATAAACTACAAATATTTAAAAAATTTTTAGTATTCGTAAACTCTTGTAATACTTCGATGAATGTATTTATCATTCAAGGATACGATACTCAAAAGAGATTATTTTCACTAAACTTTGAAAACATGCAAACTAATTTTTTTGGCTTACGAAATTCCACCAAAAACAAATTATGATACTCTACGTAGCCTCTTTGAGAGTGGACTCAACACTATCGTTAAACTGTATCTCAGTGAATAGCATGCTGGATCTCGAGGCTTACCACGCATGCTCAAATGGAAGGAGAAAAGCGTTTTATTTTTTCATTGATGTTTGAAATTTTTATTAATTAAATTGCACTCGGTGCACTAGGGTAGAAAATTATTTATCATAGCTTACACAAAGCCCCCGCTCTTGCGCGTATTTTTTTTTATTGAAACTGGGGCTTTTATTAGCCGAACAACGGAACCATGTGCATTTGATATGCGTATGCTCACATGATCAAGAGTACAATTAAATAATAGAGGGGTTGCAATTATGCCTAGCAATGAAAAATTCAGGTACGCGCTCCTACGTCCACTTCTGTTTCTGGTTTCTTGAGTACGTAAGGTACAATCGTCTTACGTGCAGTAGGAATACCATCGCGTGTGTTGTGTTTCGTCTCGTACAACGTAGCTTAGAGTAAAATTCCTGTTAGAAAACCAGATACTTAAATGAGTGCTAAAGGAAAACTTGTAGAACCCAAAGGTCTCAACTCCGATGGTAATTTTTTCCTGCCATTAAGTATTGAAAAGTAGTATGCCATCAACAACACATTTCAATATTAATTGAATTTAACACAATCAAATATTAATTGATCAACAAAGAATAAGAGACATAGCAATCACGGTGTCAGAATTTGTAAATTAATGAAATAAAATTATGTTTTATCACAACTGAGAACAACAATTTTTTTATTTAGCATTCGACCATACCTTCGGCCCTTGTAGGTTTTTGTTGCGATTACTCGGTGCTTGGCCGGATCCTTTTCATATAAGCAATTGGACTACTCCCCGAATAGTTTTCATCACTGTAACCATGTTTGGTTTCACCATCATTCCACAAACAGTCAAGCTGGCACATTCGTTGAAGGATCTCAATCTTATCACTGAGATCATTGTCAACTGCGACGTTCCAATCACTATTGCCGCTGTAAAGTTACTTAACATGTGTTACCACAGAAAAGGTAAATATTTTTTCGTAATTTATTTAACATTGAGGGAATTTTAGATAGTTCATGTTTAACAAAATCTTTAAACAAAAAAAATGTTTTTATGCATTGAGATTATCCTCATGGATTAAAATAATTTTGATAAATTTATAAATAAATAAA